ATCCACCAATTATCTTCTAATTACATGCCCAGACATCGTCGAAGCATCTGCACAAGAAGCACTTCGGTCAAATCAATCGATGGGAAAATCTAAAATTCAATTAAATTATTTCAAGGTGGTTGTGACAACATAAGCTGGCCTTTTATTTTAATTGACAAATTTTCAAGCTTTTAGTTTGCAGGGATCTGATTGACTTTAAATTTGATCACGAAGTGACTTCAGGTGGTGAACCGTTGAAAACTGGGGAGTACTAGACAGTAGAAGTTAGCATTAATGGCCCATTGGATTTCGTCTCACTGGCTGAATGGTCAAAATGGTTTGGCCTTGTAATCTGAATATTCTGGGTTCATTACTTTGATAGGGTTGTGGGTGAAGAACTCCAAAATAGGGGGAAACAGCTTTCCACTACTCCTTGATGGTTTTCAATCGTTCTCTAACTGAAGCAGGTTTGTGATCAAATTTGAAATTTAAATGATACAGTCTTGAACTACTTTTTTCCATCGTCGGTAATATAACTCATACAGTTTGCAGCAATTTTCTGTGGAACTCTACGTAGATACACTAATGCATATATGAGAGAGCGAAAGTGTTTTAGGTTACTTTTATGTGATTTAATTTTTGTCGACACTTGTGAAATAAAAATAAGAAAGAATATTTAGAACTATTATTCATAGAGCTAACTTCATTATCTAATTTTCTTTCTTAGAAAATGTTTAACATCCCAACTTTAGAATATTTGGATTTCGCTGATGATTTATGTCGAATACCACATAAATTCGAAGCCTTGCAGGCGAAAACCAAGAAGTCGGTAGAAGAGGCAGTCAGTGGAGACAGGACTTCAAGTGGACATAGAGAAGACAGAGGTGAAGATAACCAACCAACAATAACAAGCACCAATCACTATCAACTGGATAAATTTGAAAGAGGTCAGTTATTGCGATTATCCGGCCAAACAGCATAGTCTCAACCACAGGCGGAACGGATGAGGATGTCAAAACCGGAATTGGAAAAGCAAGGCAGACCTTTATCAATCTGAAGTCGTTTTGGAAATCTTTTGCACTCAATATAAAGGACAAAATACAAATTTTCAACACAAATGTTAAGTGACTTTTTCAGCATGGTTGAGACTGACTAGTTTCAGCATAGAACTTTGCAGAGATGTGCGGCAATTCGAGTCACCGCACTCCATATAGCACACAAAGCAAGAGAAGAAAATAAAACGAAATGCAAAATGGAGACAGTAAACAGAGATATGAAGCAAAAGAATAGTAATATGGAAGAACAATATAGTTTTTTTGGATATTGTAAGTCACAAACAGTGGATGCATCTGCGCTAGCCATTGAGAACGATTTTGAGCCATATCACCGATTGTATCCAGCCATTGGTGTTTACCGTCCCGAGGACCCTAACCAGGAAGTCTACACTTCCCTACGCTGTCGGCTTAAACTAACTGTTGTGGATTTCATTGACTGATGAGGCCATGTTTTGGTTTGACCACCACTAGCTCTTTTCCAACCTGATCCATCCTATGTCAGCTAACATTGTCCGTTGAGGAGAGTGATGGCTAGGCATACGTAACACAAGTCCTAACCATTTCAATCGGTGTAACTTCACAGCCTCGTCTAATGATTTCCCCTCCTTACACCTATCACCTAACACGGGAGATAGAACGCAGGCACCTATGATCGAAGACAGCTGGCTGACCTTTTCATGTCTCCCACTTTCAATGGCCAGGTCTCACTCACAGCTATAAAGGAGGACGAAGCGAACTGCTGAGCAGTACATACGCCATTTGGTCGATATCTGGATATCACGTCTACGCCAGAGATGGCGTAAACTGGCATATGCAAACCGAGCCTTCTGTATTCTAGCTGAGATTTCGTCAGTCATCAACCCGTTGGGGCTGATGCAACTTCCCAAATAATTGAAGTGATCAACGCGCTCTATCACTTCACTCCCTATTTCTAAGCTAGGAGTCAATGTAGTCCAATCCTGTAGCATCATCTTACATTTTGTGAGAGTGAATTGCATTCCAGACATTAGCAGATTGCCGCTGAAAGTGTTCAGAAGACTCTGCATGGTTGAGAGACTTGACGAGCCACTAAAAGCATTTACAATGGGTTTCAGAATTCCATCATCATCAGCTGCCTTTTCTGGCTCCATACTGAAGATCAGATGGTCAGCCAGACAGAATCAGAAACAAGAAACTTTGGAAACGAACCAATCACAAAATATTTCTCAGCAAGTAAACCAAAGAAAATGGAGACGGATCGGACACAAGCTAAGGAGACCGCTGGATGAAATCGTATGCCAGACAAGCCCCCAAGTGGAATCCGAATAGGAAACTACGAGTTGGGCTCGCCTCGAGGATAACACGGAGGAGATCATGCGAGAAGGAGATGAAAGGTTATAGGCAATTGTGGGGCCAACTAGAGAGGCCCTCAAATAACAGAATAAAATAAACTCGTGCTGTTGAAGCCCTATGTTCCATTCGGAACTCAGGGGAATAATAATAATAACAATAATGATAATATAATCCCAACTTCAATTTATTTTTCCCCAATTTTGAGTAGTATTACGATTTGGCTCATGATTCACATTCATATTACTCTCTCTCTCTCTGTGTTTGTCTAACCCCTCTCTCCCAGTATAATAAAAAAAATGTGGTAGGATTTTGAATGTAGAAACCAGTTCCATTTTTTATTTTCTATCTTCAATATTTTAATCTAATGTAAGCCATCATTATTGTACCCATGAGGATATGTATGGGATTGTTTTGGGATCTTTTTAATCTGTTATTATTATTTTTATTTTTTGTATATTATTCGTATATCTTATCCTTACAGAACACTCATCTCGTACTACTGCTGCTACAGATAACTTGATACAAGTAGTTTAACTGGAGAAAACGTTTTCTAGTTTGCAGTACATTTAAAAATAATAAAAAATATAAACTAAAAATTAGTCCTCAGTGTTTGCATGAATATGTTTCAGTGATCTGTGTGCAATTAATCGATATACTCATTAAGCAACAACAAGATGAATGATAAAAGTCATATATATTCAGAAAATATCAGTGTGTCTTCGGATGTGTATAAATGTCTATCTCGGTGTGTGTGACGATAAAGCTGTAGAAATATGGGGAACTTAAAAGCAAAATGGCGCCATAATTGTAGGTTAAATTTCTGGACAAACTGAAATTGTTGTTGTTTATACTTTGTAATTGAGATAGGATGACCAGGTGATTTGATTTCATGTAAGAATTACACACAACAAGATCCCTAGTTTCCTTAGTTATTACTCTTCTATACTATAAAAGACTAAACAATACTAATGTAAAACGAATATGTAAGCTTATCTTTATAATTTCTGTCTATACACTAGTGTTTTATTTCTTGACAAGATAAGGGGAATTCAGTGTATTTTTTGTATGCTTCGAATATTAGAAAAAGCATGCCTACATAGATCTGCGTTTGTTTTGAAACAAACTGGTAACATGTTGAACGATAGCGGTAGTTGACAGCGTGTGTAGGTGTATAAAGGATTGCTTTATGAGACATGCTGTTTGTCCCATGTAAAAGACTAATTGGTTTATTTTGTTATTCGACTCTTTTTGCCTCTCATAAACTGAAATTGAGATTTAAAGTCATATTCTATCTATGTGGTGCCGTACATAATCACCTAGGAAGGATTATTGAGGGGACTAGAGGTGTTTTGTTCTCCTGATTATCAGTTATGCAATCAGTAGTGTATGGTAGAATACTTGCCATTCACAGACTTGGTGAGGGTTCAATTTCCGGTCGATGAATTTCTACACCTAACCGGCAGTAAACCTGAGGAAGAGAGAGAGAGTCGGATGTGGGTCTAGCAGTCTAAACCTCGTAAAACAAAACTAATGCTACTTGAAGCCCTACGTACCATTCGGAACGCAAAGCAATAGCAAAAGTATCAAATTTGGTTATCCATATTTTTGAAATATTCGTCTTGTGTCCTGAGTAGAATATAAGGCTTCAAGAAATAAAGTTTTAGTAGGGTTGTTGGTGTGTCGGTGACATAGCGGTTAGGACACGCTCCGACCATGCACATGGTCCGGGGTTCGATCCCCGGCCGACGCACTCCTTTACCTCGCTAAGCCAGAAATATAGCTGGTGAAGAGGAAAGGTTGGGCATGAGGCTAGCAATCCCATCCTGTAAAATAAACACTGCTACAGAAACTTCAAGCCTCTAGTTTGAAGCCCTATGTTCCACTGGGGAACGTGAAGGAAAAAAAAGAAGAAAAAAGGGTTGTTGGCCTCATGTCCAACCTTCCCTCCTTTCCAGACTCACTATCAGACGAACAAGGACTAGGAGTGTGTCGCCTGGGAATCGGACCAGGATCACGTACGTAATTGGTGGGTATTATACATTTGAACCACCAAAGCATGCTCATTCTCGGCTAGAAAACGAAGGTTGAATGAGTTATAAAAGGCGGGTGACAATGAAGTAATAATAAGTTGTTCAAACGTCATTCATTTTCCGTCAATATTCAAAAGTAGAGACTACAAAAAGTAAGTTTTTTATTTTTTATTCCTTTACGTTCCCAGTGGAACATAGGGCTTCATGCTGGAGGCTTGAAGTTTCTGTAGCAGTGGTGTTTATTTTTACGGATGGGGTTGCTAGCCTCATGCCCAACCTTCCCTCTTTACCAGTCTTATTACTGGCTTAGTGAGGTAAAGGAGTGCGTCTGTGGCCGGGTATCGAACCCCGAACCACATGCGTTGTCGGCGAGCGTCCTACCGCTGTGCCACCGATGCACCAAAAAGTAAGTGGGGTATATAATATCTTACTCTTCCCCTTTCGTATTAACTGGAATTCAGAGAGTACTGCATAATACACGACAGAACAACCTTCGAACAGGGATTACTAACTGATCAGAATAACTCGCCTCTTTTCATACTGAATACATATACGCAACTATGATAATTTGATTAGCCCACATAAAAAATTTTTTTAGACTTACTTCGTCTGGCTATATACATTTGTTTAGAAACAGGAGGGAATTCTGGAACAAAAGCTGTACATATATACGTTCCAAAGTCTTCTTCTCTTAAATTCTCTCGCTTTAGTGAAACACTACGTGAAAGAACTTCTCTACCGCCTTCACGTCTCCACTCGATATGTGGTGTTGGATTGCCGAATGCTGGACATTCCATGTAAACATCCTCACCAGGAGAAGCTGTGAATAATAGTGCAGAAGCTTGATGGAATTGAGGTCCGACTGAAATAGACAGAAAAGTATTAAAAAAACAACGACAAAATGTCATGAAACTCAACAGTTTTCCAATACACGTAAATGCATAAAAATATAATAATAACACCTAATCATTTATATATGTCCAAATCAAGTTCACTTTTAACAGTTTGAAAAAATTTGGGCAATGGGTATATGATATTCATTATAATGAAGGTTTTTGTATTTCCCAATGAATGAAAACAAAACGATATTGTTTTTACTGACGTTTCGCTATTTAATGCTGCTAATAACGTTACCAAAGTATTATTAAACCAGAATTTACAAAATCTCAGCTTATATATAACAACTTAATCATCGTTCCTCAGTATGGGGTCATTTTTAGTTGTCGAATCGGCCAACTGGCAAAGATAACAAAACCAGGTGTATATTGTTGGATTCGATAAGTGTGTACAGTTATAAAAGCAACGTGTGTTTACATAATGAAATTGCTTATCACATTTGTGTTGATTTTGTCATTTCATGGGGGAGAAGGGAGTGTTGTCCACAGGTCAAATTCTGTTTTAGTTCATCATTCCTATTCAGACAATTTGGATTCCACTTGATATGAAGTGCTTCTGATACTAGACGTTCTTTATGATTTCTGAAATTTTTCTGGATGATGATTTCAATATTGTCAAAATCAATTTTCTGACCTGATTCGATAGCGTGTAGACGAGCTATGGTTGATGATTTTTCAAGCTTTTCTAGTTCATCAACTGGATTTCTCGGTGGTCGAATAGAGGCGGCTCTACAGTGTTCATTTCTTCTGATTTTGATTTCTCTCTGGTGATGTTTGTCCGATGTATATGGCACCACATTCCAAGCATTTTATTTTATAGACACAATCAGATAGAGAATCTTTAGGGATTTAATTTCAATCAAAAGTTCATCGCAATAGCAAGTCAACTAGCTTGATAAAAACACTACAGACAGACTTTCAACGGCAGTAGCGACTAGAAATACGAAAATGATGACTTCTAGTAGCCAATAAATGCAAACAGAATGTAGTTTATGATAATTTGTATATTTTGCATTAGATAATTTTTTTAATATGCTAGAATTTACTTTCAAAATTTAATGGTTTGTAGGAATATAGGTGCACATCAATAATGTTCTTAAGTAACATACTTTCTGACTGTTGACATTTAGTGAAATCCGGATCGAAGTGATCTGAACATAAGGCAGCCATTTCGCTCGTTTGGAGGCTAGATCACTAATGGTGTACTGATAGGATCCCACACACTTTGTTATTGTTCAATTATTTTAACGACTGTTAATCTCGTATAAGTGGTATACCATCGTTCCCACGCATTTTGTTATTGACTATTACGACCAATTATTTCAAATACTGTTAGCTGTCTGTATTGGTTGTAAAGATGTATAAATACCATTTCCTAAATAAGTTTCGTCGTCGTCGTCGTAGTAGTTGTTGTACTACAATACACAGTCAGAGACCAGACTTTGTCTTTTGATATTTGCGTGGTTCGCTGAGTCGGAAGGTACCAGAAGCAGATAGGCATATTAGTCAGGCGCAGACAGAACAAGGCGACGTCCTCATTTAATTCCCCTACAGTTACAACATGTACCCAGTTTGGCTCAGCTCAGACGGCCGAATCAGCTGAAAAAACCGGACTTATCGCAAGCTACCTGGATGAACTGGTAATTCCATAAATCGAATTGGCAATTTGCAAATATGCCTGCTTCCTTGATTACCATTTATGGCATCAAGCAGATTACATATTGTGGTCAGGATAATTTCAATTTCCGAAATGATTATTGTGCGTAGTAGTAAGTAAGTTTGTTGAGCATGTGGCAGATATTACAGGTTCCCCAGCTACATTCGTCTAATTAAGTTTATTACTTTAGGAGCGGGACTTTATCCATGCGATAATTTTTCTTACAAAGCAGTTTTACAGCATTCAACTTGATAAGTGAAAATTAAGGTTTAGAGGTTTCAAAACACTGAAATATGTCCCACATCCATATATAAATGTCCAAAATTATGTAATGCTTTATAATTTTCTTCCGGAAAGCGGTGCATCTTGGTGAAATTTAATTTCGTCACTGGTTTATTTTAAGGCATAGTGTTAAAATTCTTTTTAGTATACACAATTGATCGAATTATTATTTTAGGATTCCCACTTTAGTTCCTGACTAAGGTAGCATTTTCAAAGTGTGAGGATTGGATTGACTTGAAAACTGACTTCACTTATGGATCAGTACAATTCGGAGAACTAGATAGCTGTGAGGTTGTAATTCGAGACAGCGTGGTATTTCATAGTGTAGTGAGAATTGGCTGCTAGCCAAATTGGTAGACATTAATTTACGTCAATGTTTATGCCCTAAATATTGGTCGTGAGAAATATAATAACAAAGACTTTGCGAAGGTGGATACAGTTAGCGTACAGATGATCTGACATTCAAGAAACAGCCACAAAGAGATGAAAGATTAACTTGCAGTGAGAAACAACCAATGAGAAGACTGTGTTTTTCTGCTAACAATAATCTATAATAATGTACATGAAAAGCCATGAATGTGTGTTGATTTCCTTAATAAACGATCTGTTGCCTGGCCTTTGTCTTCTGTTGTTACAATAGTACCGAAAGTTCAAACCGTCCAGCTTAGGACTGACAGTTTACTGCATGCGAACATTACTCATTTAACAACTAAATCGAAATACAGCGTCTATAATTTTGAAGCTACACCAATTTGTAATAAAGTGGTGTTGCTATGATGTGCTATCAGTGGGTAGCTGTCCTCACAGCAAACTGAGGAAGTCCCACTAGTAATGAATTCACTCGACAACTTCTGCTAAGGCTAAACACGTTTACTTGTGGGCAGAAATGGATTTTAGTGCGTTTATATGGTAAACTGGATAAGATTCAAAATTACAAAGCATTGGATTTGAGACCAAATGCGTGGTAAGTAACATAGTGACCTCATAGCTTAAAGGTCTTGTGTTGGATAGCGTGTAATATGATTAGTACTATTGTTTGAAAATACCCTTAAATTTAGTTAAACTTTAACCACTTGGATAGAAGTAGGCCTGTAGAAGTGAAACACCCCAATTTTGAAGTAATGTTTAGTGTTTAGAGCGGGGAGTTTCAAAAATACTTTGAACTTTTTCTTGATTACAGTTCATTACTACTTAATGCCTACAAAAGTAGATTATTAAGCAGCAGTCAAAGAAAGGCTATCAATCAACTAACAGTCATCAATAATCATTGAATATATGAACTCACACTTAACATTAATTGTTGTTTCTGCAGATCCTTTTTTATTTGAAATTGCTATACACCGAAAGACAGATTGGTGTAGTTCTCTTGTTAACCGAAGACGATACCATGATTCAACAATATTTTCTACTTGACGTCCATTTACATACCATCTAGAATAGTTTTTGAATGAAAAAATGGAAAATGAAAAGATGGAAAAATTTTATGCGAAGACGAATCTTTCAGATAGCAAATACATTGCAACTGACCTTATATGAAAACTGATATTGAAAAATTGAATTGCATAAAGAAGGTCTACCAAAGAGAAGAAATTCCCACATGGTTGTTGAAAACGCAATAACTGTTTCTTACGCTAGACCATCTGACTTGATTCTCAGCATTTAAGTTGTATAGAAGTGATTCAGTGGTACAGTAAAACTGCCAAAGTGAATATCTTCAAGTAGGTGGTAGTATAGTGATAACTAAAAAGTATTTTACCCATCTCAGTCAAATGTTTACTTTTCAACATAGTTGTATTTGATTACAGGATTTCATCATGAGCTGACATCGGTTAGAGAGCCATTGGAAAACCTGGGAGTACTGGACAGCTGTTTCGCGGTTGCGCTATATTGTGATTTGGCAGAAGTTAGAATTCATGGGCTGGCCATTAGATCAAGTCCCAGTTGCCTAATGGTCTACGAGCTTGCCTTGTAACCAGTAGGTGCTGGGCTCGAACCCTGGCCGTGGATGCGTACTGATGAAGAGTCCAAAACCAGGACGAAACAGCTGTCTAGTACTCCCAGGTGGGTTTTCCAATGGTTTTCTAACCAATGTCAGCTCATAAAGAAAGTATAATCTTATTATATCTTTTCTACCCGATCTTCATGATTATTACTCATTGGAATTTTTTAATTTGACCTTTTACCTGAAATATTTTTAGAACAGTGCCACTATCTATGTTCAGTTTATTACAATTTGTAATTTTATTAATCTGACCTCTGACCAGAAATAATTCTGGAACTTTCTCACACATGTAATATAAATAAACGAATGTACAGCCTAGTTGAAGACTTCGTCGAAAAGAAAATTCTCTTCGCTGCAACCGTCTTTTTAATAATTCCTATAATCCAGTATATATATTTTATATGATCGTTCTTGAAGTACGAAACAGACTGCCTAGTCTGATAAAACTGTAGTCATATGACTGACAATATTATATATTACCTATTAGTTTTTTAGACATAAGGGTGAACAGAAAATGTGGATAACTAATGAGCTTTTATGGTTTGAATTAAGAGCATAATTTAGAATAAAGCGAAAAAAGGAGAAAGTATTCCTACACACTTTTTATGTTAACTACAAAAAAAAAACAACTAATTCGCCATAAATTGAAAGTGAGAAGTGGTTAAGAAGTGTTTAGGCAAACTGTTTGTGTGTATCAGAAAAATACTTGTGCATAGACATAGACACTGACACGACTAATACTCTTTGACTCTATTACTACTCTAGCATAGTTTTTATGCATTTGGGATTAGTGAATCTGACTCACAAAAAAAAGATTATTATTTGATTTATTTATCGACAATGAATGGTACAAATTTTGAAGATCAAAGATCAATGTGGGCAAATTTAAACTAGCGTAGTGAAAACTACAGTGATCTTGAACAACCAATCAGAATTCTGATGCAATAAAGTTGCATATTCGTTGAAAAATGCACTATAAACATTGCAAACATGATATTATATTATATAGTTGTCGTTTATGCGTTGTAAGAATTTCTCCCAGTCACTACACAGATGATCTCTAAGAGAAACCATACCATGCTCGATGGGTACATTCATCCAGGTGAATGTAGATCATGGTACTTTGAGGTCTATTGATATTTCTGACACTGTTCTTTGAGCTACTCCTATCTGTAACCCTATTCCGAACCTTAAACCTAGACCCTAATGTAAAAAGCCATAACCCTACCTAACAGCGCAGATTTATAGAAAAAGTCCCTAGAGAATAAGTGGAATACTGTATCTGCCTTCTGCAAATCCAGAAAGACAGGTATGATTTTATTTAGAATGACATTTCATAGTGTTCCCTGTATCTGATTGTTCTTAAAGGTCGAATTTTGAAAGACCTTGGCTCTAGCTATGATATTTTAACTTCACCTAGATGTATTTTCTTTACCGCAGTCATCATAAACAGCATAGAAAATGTCTGTGAAGCTACCGCTTCTCTTGATGTATTCAATGAAAAGTTAAAGAGAAAGTGTTTTTCTTCGGAGAAACCAGAGTATTTTGATTAAAATGAAAAGCTGATTATGAATTGGACAGATATTTCACAACATTTCAGGACACTTCAACAGTCCACACCGATGACTGCACCGGGGATTTAACCTATAAACTTCAGATTACTGGACCAAGTTCACTAACTATTCAACAATTTGGGCTGAAATTCAGTGACCCATGAATTCTAACTTCGTCAGTTCATGATATAGAGCTGCCGTCACCGGCGCCTTCAATTAGCATCCAGTTCACTTTGACCAAAGGTTAGTGAATTTAAGCCAATGTGAATGAATGGTCATCAAGCTTGGTCTCATAACCTGAAAGTCCCGTGTTCGATCCCTGTTGGGGTCACAGGTTCTCATTGTTGAAGAGTCCCGAAATAGAACGAAACGGTTGTCCAGTGTTCCCTGGTTTCCAATTTTTCCTCTAACTGATGTTGATTCCTGAAAGAATCTAACAAATGAGATCATAAATAAGTCTATATGTAAACTGTTCTAAAACTCTGATTTCCACCACAATTATTTTGAAGTAATTTTAATCATGTTATACGCGACTTTTATCGACAGCTGCCTTCGTTCCTTACTGAAGATCAAGTGGCCAGAAAGGATTAGCAACAAAGCAACCGAAGACACGTTGCCTGACAAATATTCAGAAGGAAATGAAGATGGATACAATACACAGTGGGCAGTGGTACACCAATGGGAAACGATGACTTAGGCTAGGGTGCTAAGGTGGCATCGAGGAGGTTGTTTGAGAGGGAAATGAAAGGTTATGTACAATCGTCGACTGCAGAAGACAGAGTGAAGTGGAGATGTCTTGCTTAAGCGCTTTATTTCACTTATAACCCAAAGGAACAATAATAACATTGTAATACACCCGATTGTCCCTAGAATGCTTTTGAAGTACTCAATTAAATGATTTTATTATCAAAATACACCAATGTTCATATTCATAATTCATTAGACTTGTAGAATTATAGAGTTTCATTTCACTAACACAGTGAGATTAAGGTTCACGTTAGTCACTTTCAGATTCTTACCATTTGTATGTGAAAGCATCTTCCTTCTTTATTATTGATATAAGTATAAAACTTGGGCACTGTGGTAGAGTATAACTCCATTATGGATAAGATTTTGTTTTGAAAAATCACACAGTGTTATACAGTAATACTAACTGATGACGTTTCGAGCACAAACTATTGCTCATAATCATATCAACGTACTCACTCACACAACTTTTTTACTTCATTTATATACATGAGTGATTGTGATTAGACATTTGATAAAAATCAGTATTCAGAAATAATATTAGTGTTATCAATCAAATACAATACGATGAGAAATAAGAGTAAAAATAAGTAACTTGTCAGAATGTTATGGTGTATGTGAATTGAAATACAATTTTAAGATTATTTATTATCCTCCTTTGATTTGACTGATAATAATATCTTCCGTATCTCTGGTATTTACATTGAGTCATTTATGTTGCATTTGTTGAGTGTCGACTCGATGAACCAGACAGGATTCAGTAATCAATCTCTTTCTCTCTCCACCTACGTGTATTACTTCTAGGAATTTTAACCCTCTCCCATCCACTTGTGTGGTTGTGTGTTAATGCATGCAGTGTAATTGCTGAGCTTTTTTCTAAATTACTTATCTTCCCGGGGTCAACCATTCTTACCTTAGCTAAATTCTTATGTTCTGACAATCTGAGTATCCCCGACCAACTAGTCTGACCTATGGTTTCCCTATGGTTTGAATAAGTGGTAAAAAACCCTGTTGAGGTGTTTTCAGATGAGAAACAAGATAGACAATGACATTTGGTATTCAAAATGGGTGAAACTCATTTATTTTTTACAATTTCAGAGAAGAAGATACCAACGTATCTGTAAAAATACTAAATATCGAAGACTGATGTATTAATACCAACCACCTTTTAATCGGTGGCTATGTATGCATAAAATTAGACTAAGGATAGTACAATTAACGTGAATCTGTTTCTGCATGTATTTTCTACACAGACCATTATTAACCTTTAGAAGGGGATATTAACAAACAATCTGTTTTATAATGAAAAGACAGGCAACAAATGTGTAGCCTATATATTCTGTTGGTTTCACTGTAAATTTCATGAAAAAAAAATAAAAGTAGTACAAATCTATCAAGGAGACCAAATCAACAGACCACCAGAATAGTGATTCATTAGCTTGTATCAGTTATGTTCACTTAATGAAAGTTAATTCATTCATATGTGCACCAAAAGATATAAATAAAAGATACAAATAAATATACTAAAAGTTTCAGATATTTGAAATTTGTTTTTGGTCTGATTTACAGGACTGAAATGATGCTGATACATATATTGATCTTGGAAATAAACAGCAAAAAGCTTTTAGGCTTTTGTATGAAATCATTTGCTACTGTAGCAGTTGAAACTTACAGATCATAAATTCAATAACAGCCATTGATGGCTAATGTGATGTCTTTAGACAAAAACTCTTTTATTCTGGATTCTATACCTTCAAAGTGGATGATACTCACTTCTGAATGGCCTCGAGCTAAGAAAAAAGCTCTGCTTAAACATGTCCGTTTTGCAAATTACAGAACTATGTAAGTCTTGTTCACTGAGTAAATAGCAGCGATATAGTGGTATAAGTTTGTTGTCCTTGCAAGGCGCATTTGTTGCATTGTAAATCCCTACCCAATCCTCTTCGAAGTTTTATCACAAACAGGTTATCTAATTTCTCTTATTTATTTATTATTTTTTATTATAGCTTGATTCCACACCGGATTATTGGTACACCTACGGAATTTTAAGCATGTGATATCGGTAGCCCAAATTTAGCAGGCCGACCATTGATATCAGGTGTCCGTTGGCAGGGGATCGAACCCCGGACCATGTGAATGGTCGGCGAGAGTCCTTACCTCTGTGCCACTGACGCACAGTAGGAAATGTTAACTGAAGTTGAAATGAAGTCACGATTACCACAAAATTTATATTCAAATAATGGATTCTATGTTGTGGCCTCGACAATACAAGCCTTGATTTGACCTAGGCCTCTTTTTAACTTCATTTACGATGCTGGCATAAATGATCACTAATTTAATAACTACAGTTGCTTTCGACAAATCAGTCAAAAAATAAATCAATAAAAGATCAATATTATTCAAAGTGTACTTACTCCCAGAAAAAAGAATCTGGTCTTCCATGAGCATTACATTCAACAGTAATAATATCATGCTCCATGTATAGATTGTCTGGTCGTGAAGGCCGTACTTGTATACTTACAACAGGTGCATCTGTTAAAGTTAGTAAATGAAAAGTAAGGTTAAAAGTTAGCACGAATGAATTAACTTTATTTTCTTTGTTAAATAACTTTTGTTTAGAATAATGATTGGATGAAGTCAAGCAGACTAGGGCAAACTGGTTGTAATAAACGAACCTTTACCCGGACATTTTTAAAGGCAATAACAGTGTCCATATTTAAAACTCTTGAAATATTTAATTCAGATATTATCTGAATGGACAACTGATTCGACTCAGCTCAGAGAACCGAGAGCGGCTGGTTTGAACTGATTAGGTTGTTTGAACTGAATCACATCGGGTGCACTTCTAATGAGCACGCTCCTACACGAGAGAAACAGCTGTCCGGTGTTTAAATCACTACTCTCACGCTTGCAAGCACTGCTGGTTGATGTGGATGGTATACGACTTCTCGTAAAGTAATACATAGTTGTATGCATTTATGCTTGGTCTCTTGATCACAATTTTTTGTATCAAGCGGATCACATTTTGGGATCTGAGTAATTTGGTTTCCAAAGGAAACTGTGGGGAAATTCCATCTCTTCAAACTGCATAAATTTAAAATTGTGTATTTCATTTAAGAATAAGTTTGTTGATGAAATCATCTGTATTGACTAATTTATTCTCAAATTAAATACGTTTATCTGATGTAACACAGTGTCACCAACTGCATGAAGTTTCAATCACAATTTATCACCCATAATCACACCGCTGATATCATATATGTAGTCGAATATATGTATATATAGTCTTTCGACTTATGTTTACTGTATTTCCAAGTTCGACACTGGTTTCATTAAGTCGAGGTATTCAAACTCTTTAAATAATTGTACTTTATAATCAGCTGCAATCATGTTATGGTAACATCTTGGTGTATAATTCTTTCCAGTGCTGACTGGCAGTGAAAATCATGATTGACATTTAGTCGGGGCCGCCACAGAATAGGTATAACCAAAACATAAATATATAGAAGTAATGGAGAAAATCGTTATTTCAGGTGGGTACTTCTGATGTTGTATTTTTTGAGACAAATGGCTTAACTGCGAAGCTTTAACTGTCCACCTAGAAAATATCTAAATTGTTGGTATTAGATGGTTGGGGGCAACTGCCAGGAAGCCTTGGACCTAGATTTTGTGCTAGCTGGCACTCAGTAATCAGCAAGGTGTATCTGCAGTCTTGAAGGGACTCATGTCTCTTCTAAGATTTGAACCTGTATCAACCAGTGCTGCAGTCATAGAAGTTACCACTGAGCTATCCGGCCTCGCGATCGACCTCCTGTAGGACTGCATTGGATATTATTTTGATTGGACACTACTCGTGCAGACTGAATTCTATCAGTCGAGTTTGTAATGTGGCCACCAAAAATTCACAGTGCACCATAATGGTGAGCCATCTAGAATGGTGTCCACATTGCAGACTCGACTGATAGAATTCAGTCTGCACCAAAGATAGGACTAGAAGCACTACACTAGTTACTGACTAGTGTCCAATCAAAACAATATCTTAAATGCTAACATCCCGGAAACCATTAAAACCCGTTGGTATAAATCTACAAATATGAGCGGTACAATTTCAGCTGCATCCTTTCATCAGTGAATTTATAGCCAAAGCTAACTAACTAGAATGTTTGTATTCATCTGTTCAGTACAGTTGAATAATTTGATCACATATTTATTTGTCCACATTTTATGTGTAAAATAGTAAAAATAGATTAACGGGTCAAGCAAATCAGTTAAGGTAATAGATGTAATAACAATGATAGTAAATAGCATGTTGAAAGATCTATACTCTATCACTCCATACTGAATATTTGACACCAAAAAGGATTAACTAAGATGCAAAATAAGGATTAATAATGTATAAACATAAGTGAAGACATGAAGAGGCCACCAACTAACATAGGCATACAGCACTGACAGTTTCAACTGAATGAATTTAAAAGTTATTTTAAGGTTGACCTGTTGCTATGGGGAGTTCATCTACAGATGATGTTAATCATACCTGTATTCTACCTGTATTTATTTAAAGGTAAAGATGTATTTGTAGTCAGTATGAAAGGGTTACACACCAACAAACACTGAATATCTTGACTAATACTAATTCTTCTTCGATCAAAATATACGTAGTTATTTGTTTGGTGATGATGATGTTTGTGCTAGAGCCCATATCACCTTAAATAACTTTATTTAACCTGATTTCATTTTGACTGTTCATATGAAATCTTCTGATTAGTAGACAAGGTTGGCAGATTGATCTATCCCTATTGTATGAATGCATTTCAGTTTCCAACCGGATTCTCCCTTCTATTTATATTATGAAAAAAAGGATTATATGAAGGACTTAAGACTGTTAGTTTTTAAGTCGAATCATCACTTCATTGGCTAAACAGGAAGTTTTACGTGACCTGTGGATATGCATCAGTGAAATTGCCTGAAAGTTTTAAATAGTCAATACGGATGGATGGATGATGAGAGTTAGTCATTTTCAAATGATCTATAGTAAAAAAAAGGAAAGGAGACATTTTTTCAATAAAGAAAATGGACGGGGGGGGGAGAAATGACTTACAATGAACTTCAATTTTTGTTTGAGCTGGACGTAGTGTATGCATTTCGTAACCAGTGTTTTCTGCTCTACATTCAACAAGTTTACCATGATGTAATTTATTCAAATGTGCAGTCATTCTACTTGTTGCATCCACTCTGAAGAGAAATAGTACAGAAAACAAAATCAGATCAATAAATTATCTTGCAGGTGGATTTCAGTATTATATACTAATCGTTACAGAATACTAGTTCATATAGGCTTCCTTATTTTATTATTATTCCCTTGGGTTCCGAGTGGAACATAGGGCTGGCTTCAACAACACATCTCCACTTTCTTCTATTTGCTGCCATCCTCTTAAGCTGGGTCCATGATTGCCCAAACTCTCTCATCTCCTCTTCACACGATCTCCTCCATGTCACCCTCGCACTGACGACCCACTCGTCGCTTCCCATTCGGATTCCACTCCGGCTATGGCCTGCAGTGAGAGCGATGTCACTCAGTGGTTTTTTCAGTGTATGGCCGATCCATCCATCTCCATTTTCTCCTACATATTTGTTGAGCGATCGGCTCTTGCCTGTTGGTTTGTTCCCAGCCAGAGGTTCTGGTTGTTAATTCTTTCTGACTGGCCATGTGATCTTCAGTATGGAGCCAGTGAAGTGGGCAGCTGTTGATAAAAGTCTGCTGTAGTTTGTTGGAAATCCTTTACGTGACATGTAGTGCAAGTTTCTAACCTCCTTATTAACAACACAATAAAAGATTTTTCCGACTTAAACTGAAATATACAAGAAATTTTTCTGGATACAGAAGTTGTCACTCAGATACAAAAACAACATAAATAAACCCCATCCAAGCAATAACGAAAAGAACACAAAAAGTAGTTCAGCGGATAGTCTATTTTCGGCGAATTCATTTTCTTTAGCTGTAAAACAGCATTTTATATGCATTTTTCTTCCACAAAAGAGAATACTGAAAAGAGTGATGATTTGTCAATATTAGTCAATGGTTGAGAGGATTTGAATGAGGGGTATTATAGTTACGTAATAAGATGAATAATTCAATGAATGAGTTTTAATCAGAATGTACAACAAACAAAAATCGAATTTCCCTCAATGTTATTAGAAGTAGTTTTATAAGTGAATTTTTTATTCCTTTACGTTCCCGGTGGAACATAGGGCTTCAAGCTAGAGGCTTGAAGTTTCAGTAGCAGTGGCGCTTATGTTTTCAGGATGGGGTTGCTAGTCTCATGCCCAACCAACCTTCCTACTTTGCCAGCCTTATTACTGACTTAGCGAGGTAAAGGAATGCGCCGACCGTAGATCGAACCCCAGGTCACCTGCATGGCTAGCGAGCATTCTACTGCCGTGCCACCGACGCACTTTATAAGTGAATATATTACATTATTATACATTATTACATAAGTGATTATAACCTATTAGACATTAAACAACATCACATGTATGCACAGTAGATCAATTTCATCTGATTTACACAATACAGTTAATCAATAGCCTGCAAGGTGCTATTTAAAGCGCATTCATGCAGTTATGGGACTTTCTATTTTGTTTACTTGTTTAAATGGCTTTCCACATAAAACCTCTTCATAAAGTAACCTGTCAACAAATAATTCCCTCCTTGTAAATGAAGTGTTACACTAAGATGTTTGAAAGCTTGACACTTTCTAACATTTAATTTGCCCAAAGTGGCAGTTTATCCTTCACACATCCGTTAAACTGCCACTTTGGGCCACCTCAATGTATGTTTATAAATTCACTTGCTCGTGTGGAGCTAGTTATATTGGCCGCACAAAGCGCACGCTCTCCAAACGTATCTCTGAACATTATCCGGCATGGTTAGCGAAGGGACAATGTAAGACAATTACTAGTTCAATTCTCGAGCATTTGGTGAACTCAGGCCACGTAGCTCCACCAGAGTCGTCTTTCAAGATAATGTAAAAGGTCAAGCCAAATGGTACAAAGGGCGTCAGGTTTTGGCTTTTGTGTATGGCGGAGGCTCTAGCAATTCATCAATACAACCCTGAACTCTGTATACAGAAAAAATTTGTCCAGTCTCTTATTCTACCTCGGTCTTAACCTCGTCACTAATCGTTCCTTGTAAATAAAAATTTTTGATTTTTTCTCTTCATTTTAATCTTAGTTTGCTTTTGCTTTAATAAATTATTCACTGTTATTACTCTCATATGCTCCTTTTGTATATTTTCATACCCTCCTCACACTTGTTAAATTGACACTCAAATATCTCTATTCTCACTCAATAGCAATTTTAACCTTATCAAATTTCCTTCTTTGTGCCATTGAGTACCACGTAATTTACAACTTTTAATTTTCACTTCTAAAGCCACTTCTGAGTAATTATAACAATTATGTTACCCCCTATTACTCAATAATGGACCACTATATATTTTTGTAAGTATAAATACGAATGTAAAGCCTCTGAAGATGATTTCGTCGATCAAGAAAATTTTCTTCGCTTAATCTGTCTTTTATTTTCTTCACGATTCAGTGGACTGTTATTGTAGAGTGATGAAACTCCACTGAAAACTGATAGAATTAAAATATCTTGAGCCACTAGACTCTACTCTAGATGCATTATGACACTATCTTTTTCTTGACACTGAACAGCTCTCAGCCTGATCCTTCAGTTGTTTTTGGGTGAAAACAATTGGGTGGTCTCAGGTTAAGTCTAATCAACTGTCCACTTTCATCTGGTTTCAATAAACCCTTCACAAGAGTTTACTTTTTCATTTTCATTTTGTTACTGATAACAGTCTAACTAATCTGTAATCCTATGATTCATCTAACTTTCTAAAACCACTAAAAATAACCTTTAGTTTACTGTAATAATGAAGAGTAAAATTTTCAAATTCATAATGTTGATGAATAGCTAGAATTAAAGAGTTTTTAAAAGAAAACTGCAAACAAACAATATTTGCAATAAACAAATATTACTGATGATATATTCAGTGAATATTTATATTCATTTATCAAAGCTACTGAAGGCAACTAAAGAATTGAGCATTGAAATAATTGATTTGCTCTCTTCCTAAAGTTTTCATAGCTTATGGGTTAATTTTTTTCAATATGTCGGCACCAATCAGGTCACAGTAACACACTGACAGAGGTATTCTAACCGCCTTCATTGTCACAGACAGACTAAACATTTGACAGGAAGAATACCAGAAATGCAAATAATCGGTTATAGTCAGATGAAGGTTATTCGAACGTGTCAAATGAAGATTAGTTTTCGGTTTAAGGTCAACCATCAACGGGAGCGATTTGAAAGAGGTTACTTCTTTCACTTATCTAGGGAGCATTGTCTCAACTACAGGAGGAACGGACGAGTATGTCAAATCGAGAATCGGGAAGGCGAGAAACACATTCATCAACCTGAAACCAATCTGGAAATCTTCGTCACTCAACTCAGCATCAACAACAAAATTCGGATTTTCAATACAGACGTCAAGTCAGTCAGTTCTTCTATACGGATGGATCAGAAACTTGGCGGGTCACCAAGAATATTTCCAACAGCCTGTTGCAGACCTTGATCAACAGCAACTGTCTTCGTTCTATACTGAAGATCAGATGGCCGGGAAGAATCACCAACAAGAAACTATGGGAACAAACAAAACAAGAACCAATCGCTTAACCAAAATGCAGGAGAAAGTGGAGATGGATTGGAGACTCACTCGCTGGGCGACATCGCGCGTCAGGCAAGTGCTCGAGTGGAACCCGAAAGGGAAGTGGCGAGTGGGACGTGCAAGGGTGACATGGAGAAGATCATGTGAAGAAGAGTTGAAACAGAATGGATTAACATGGACGCAGGTGAAAAGTACAGCAGAAGACAGAAGCAAGTGGAGACGTGTAGTTGAAGCCCTATGTTCCACTAGAAACCCAAGGGAACAATAATAATAATAATATTAGAAAAATCAGTGAAATCACTATACAGATAGTGTAGTCATGAGGTTATGCTTGCTAACTTTAGTGAATCAACTAGTTTCTGACGGACAGCCTAAATAAATTTCCATTCATGGCTGATTTTTGAACAACTTGGAAATGAAGTTTATAACTTTTAAGAGGTTATAAATTTTTTTAAGGTAATCTAAGTTAGAATAATGTTCTTGTCCACGCCAAGTAAATTACTATGTCATATCATCCTGGAGAAAATAAAAGATGCACTGGATGCAAAACTCCACCCCACCAAGCAGAACAAGCTGGATTCAGGAAAGGCAAATCATGTGCTGATCAAGTTGCACCTCTACGCATCATCAGCATCATCATAGAACAAAGCATAGAATAGCAGTCAAACCTCTACTTCAACAGCTTCATTGACTTCGAAAACGCCTTCGACCGACAGCGTTGACCAAGAAGTAATTTGGAAACTACTTCAACACTACGGCGTACCTCAAGTCTTTATCAACGTCATACAACGGCTATATGACAATGCCAAGCGCTAGATGATCCACAATGGAAAACTCAGCAAGACATTTGCAGTGCATACAGGAGTAATACAGGGCTGTCTATTATCACCGAAGATATTTTTAATTGTGGTGGACTGGATTATGCGTCATACTATGCGTTGGGAGCGAGGGGGAAGGAGTACGCTGGACCACCGATGAGAAAACTCTAGAAGATCTGGATTTCGCAGATGAAATAGGTCTAATGACACACAAACTCGAACACTTACAGGCGAAAACCAACAAACTGACTGAACAAGGTTGCAGTGAAGATAGGACTGCAGGTGAACACAGAGAAGACGGAGGTGATGACGATAACCAACCACCACCAACAGCAGCAATAACCAGCACCATTCATCATCAACGGGGGAGATTTGACAGAGGTTACCTTCTTCAACCATAGGCCGGTGGAATGGATGAAGATGTCGAAATCAGAGTCGGCAAGGCAAGACACGGCTTCATCAATCTGAAGCCGGTTTGGAAACCTCCTACACTGACTCAGCTTAAACAACAAGATTTGGACATCCACCATAAATGTTAAGTCATTTCTTCTATGCTAGACAGAAACTTACACGGCGTGTGACGAGAAGGATTTACAACAGGTTGCAGACTTTTTTCAGCTGCTGCCTCAGCTGGTTCCATACTAAAGATTAAATGTCCGGAAAGAATTAGAAACAAGAAACT